GAGACGGCCGCTCCGATCAGTTTCAAATATATAGATCTGAATGTTTACATGAGATCTTCTTATATAAATTCCCACAATACATACATAAGGTACAAATGGCTGGTATAGCCCATTACATCATCCCCTCTTAAAGTCTAAAGGCTTTGATGCGTTTGCAGATCTTTTGGAGCCGTTAAATTTCCGATCACCAGTGAAGCGATCGAGTGAACAAGCCGACATTAAAGAGCGTTCTACCCTTAACCGACAAAAAAAATCCTTAGAACTTTTTGATGTGTTCTCCATTCTCAATCAAAATGGGAGAAAAGGTTCTGAATGGAACATTTCTTTTATTTGGTGTCTGATCAACAATCGTGATGATTCAACCCAGCTAAGCTTTACTCTTGGAGGACATTTGTTCGCCGTGAGAACGAAAACAAGTCGGCGCTGGCAGAACTCTCAGTCACGGAAGCTCTGGTCGTCATTGTGTTGCCTTTAGCAACACTACAGGCGATTGTCGTAGCTGCGGACCACGTCGGAGGCATCAGAATCCAAGGCCTGACGATGTCCGAGTCCAATGGGTAGCCGCGCCACCAAATTCTTTGAAAAAATGATGGTTCAACTGCTTCTTTCCACGATGACGAATCGAGCAAATCTCGTGATCGACGATCGTCTCATCCACCTAATGACGCTCTTCACGAAAGTATGATAGAGGTGGTGGCGTTGAATGTGAAAGCGATTGATCGACATCGTAAGTGGAAGAGCGCTCATCACGGACAATTTGAGGCAGGACAACAACGTTGCTCAGTGCTTAAAGATCACTGCGAGGGCTTTTCGAACCTTGTTGCAGGACACAACTCGAAGCGCGATCGTTCCGCTCAATGCTTCGCTTTACAGTCCTGTTTTGATCGACGGTTTCAACAGGTTCATGATGTGCTTGTTCGACTCTGGAAGGATGAGAAGTCTCGTAAGTTGGCTCACAAAACCTGTTACGCTTTGTTGAAGCGGCAAAATCTGACATCCCGGTACTCCGGTTGTGAGTACCATTCTCGCTCCAAGCGTTGGCACCAGTAAAGGAGCTTTGCTTTGATGTCCTTCAACGCTTGTACGCCGAAACGAATCTCCACGGTGAAGAGTTGGTCGCTCCTCACGGACAGATGAAGAAACTTCATGATCCGTTCAATCATCAACTAAAAGTAAATAAGGATCGGCAGATCCACTCGGAAGGTACAATTTTAACCGACCCACATAAGATGGGGGAAGTAGGCGCATGCGTGTAGAGATGGCTACTATATACGCATCACCTTTGCATTTTATTACCTTAAACGGTCCAATGAATCTTGGCAAAAGCTTTCTGCCTCCCAAGTTGAACACTGCATGTTCAGGCAGATTAGTCGCGCTAAGAAGTACAAGACTATTGACCGAATAACTATACCCTCTTATTCTTCCTACTACTTGTTCTTTCTGCAGATCCTGAGCTTTCGCAATTGCATCTCAACCAACCGCACAATAGCTTTTCTATTCACAATTAAGTCATCGACGTGACATTCCTCACGGCTTGTCATGTCGTCTAGAGGTCTCATAGGGTCAAACTTGCATTTTTCTTTGTGACAGCATTTAGGTCAGACTGTGGCTCTACAGCCATAACTTCTCCCCACTTAAGGTAGAGACCTCACCCATAATAGAGATAGGTACCCTAGGATGAATACAATAATTCACATAAATCGGCGAATGACCTGTCGAGATATGCGTGGAGTTGTTTAACGCAAACTCTGCATGAGTGAGAAATTTACTCTACTCTTTGAACGATGTAGCGTAACTACGCGATACGTCCTCTAGGACTCGATTCACACACTCTGTTTGACCGTCCTTTTCAGGGTGTAATGCTGATGACATGGAATTTTTTGTGCTCAAGGGTCCTAACAGTGCTCGCCAAAACTGCGACGTGAAACGGGCGTCACGGTCACACACGAAGTCAACAGGAAAACCAAGCAGACGGAAAACAGCGTCTACAAAGACCTTAATTGTCTTTTCGGCATACATCATATCCGAAATAGGGTTTAGATGAACCATCTTGCTGAATCGGTCCACTAATACAAGGATACCACTGCGTTAATGTGTGTCACGCAGAAGTCCGAATCTGAAGCTCATACTCACAGACTCAGTTGGAACCGCCAATGATCAAAGTTGGGCCCGAGCGGAGCCCGATGGTTTCGTCTCCGGCAAATCTCACAAGTCCTAACTAACTTGCGCTACCACTGGCAGACAGAAGACATTGCAGTGCTTTGTCGAAAGGGTCTTTAAAACATCTAAACAAGTCCTCATGTGTCTCATCAGACTTGTAAACTTCGACAATTTCATCGCGCACTGTAGGCATAGCTTGCATTTCAATCGTCTGCCATCATCGCGTTGTCGACACGACTCGCGCATGTTTTCGTATATGGACTTTGGATCACAATCCGGACAATTTGTCAAAATATCGGCTAAAAAGTTTGTCCTGTCTGGCTTGTAGTCGACAACAAAGTTGTACTCCGCAAAGAAAGACAACCATCGAGTTATTCTACGCGATAAATGAAAAGTATTTTCTGCTGTACGCAGCGCGGCATGTTTTGTAAGGATCTAAAAAGCACTTGTAAATTACTCAAAGCTTACATCATTGCTAGAAGCTCTTTGTCGTGTACTGGATAATTCCGTTTTGCGAGTTAGAGTGGTCACAACTGATCCGAAACAACTCGCGTTCGACCCTCATCATAGCGTTGTATCAACCACAACCAATAGCATAATTACTTGCATAACAGACCACATGAAATGGCTTAACGTCGCTAGGACAGAACCTTACTCGAGCTCTTCTTCGCTTCTGCAAATACCGCCTGGTGATCTTTTGACCATTCCCAATTAACATTTTTTTAAAATAAATGCACCAACGTTGGTCAAAATCAAATATTGTTCTCAGCTGTGTCACATTGTTTGGCACATGCCAATCATTGATAGCTTTGACTCTCTCCGGATCAACATAAACACGTTATTTTTGCCCACGAAGTAGCCGAGAACGGGGATCTCAGGTGCAAATAAAATGCACAATGTCAGCATAGAGCTTATTCTCTCGTTAGACTTGGAACACTTGACAAGATGAACATTGGCATCAGACTTTTAATCTTTCGTTTTCTTACTATGAACGAAAAAATCGTCAAGGTAACTCGATTCAAACTCTTTCAGTAGACAAGGAATCGTACCCGTTCAGTTGAAAGTCGCGGAAGCGTTCTTCAAGCCTTGTAGCATCACTTACCATTTCCTTAGCATACAACTAGATGTGCTGACTGCAGTTAGTGGTGTATCGTTTTCGCGCGTTCTTGTCTAATTGAGAATGAGTATCCACATATATACCAAATAAGATTATTCACCACTAAATTGTGTGTTTCACACACTGCGGTGCGACACTTAGTGTGCTGCGGTTTGATTACGTGTAAAGTTGATCCATTTGCTATTTTCGTTGACTTCATGCCATCTAGCACTGGAATTTTGCTGTCATGCGGTCCTTTTTGTGCTCAAGCTTCACAGCTTAGCCATCGCCAATCCAACGAGCTTGAATTGTTGTGGCAATGACTGCGCTCGCAGCTCGAGGAGAGCAAAAGAGCATTTAATTCGAATTGACTGGCCTCAAGTATTCAATGCGCACAATCGACGAAGATAAGATCGGTTTCGAGAAGAGTATTTTTTGCGTCTGCTAACCTTCTTCGCATTGACCAGAGCCTCCTTGATCTTCTTCCATTGCACACTTTAGTAGTCGGCAATGGTCTATAGCTCAGTTTGAGCAAGATCGATGGCAAGTTCACTCGCACGAACAGATTCGAAGGTGTGCATTGCGACTGATGCCGACTTGCTTGTCTGGCTTTTATAATCTTTCGTCGCCCATTGCAGAAGCCTTGCTATTTCTTGTATTTACTAGCTCGTCTTCAAAAAGCTGTTTGACCCCTTCTTTCTTTTTCCTCGACAAACGCCTGGTCTTTTGTGCGAACATAATTGCACAGCGATCGGTCCTGCTAGCAACTCACATCGAAGCTTCCATCACTGCATCACCATAAGACCCCACACTTTGCCAAAGTGGTGGTGATCAATTTTCAACATGATCTCCTTCCCACTGGCAAACCAACTTATTTTCCAATGCAGTGACGACATAGCGTGTCTTTCGCACAAAGATAACGCTCATGGTGTGTTTTGACGTGCAAAAATAGATTTATAGCAATCCCAAAATACAATAGACCTCATTATTAAACGTTCTTGTCCGCAGACGCAGTTACCAGCCTTGAATCGTAAGACGAATTATCCATTGACATCACAAGGAGTGTGAGGCATAAACGCTCAACAAAGAATCTGAGAGAGTCGTCTATGGAGACCTAACGGTACAATCCCACACCGCAAGGAGCTTGTTCGAATCTTTAATGTTGATGAGCGAACGCAAAGCACATCGTTTGACATCTTGAGTAGACGAGCATGTGATGGACCAAGAAGCAACAAGCTGCTTAGTTCCGCATTGTCAGGTCGAAACATGGGGGAGATTCCCAAAAATTAATGTGATTGTCAGCACCACCTGTCACGACGCCACGTCTGTCTTGACTGAAACTAATGAACCAGACAGCGCTACCAGCTTGTGGTTCTTCATCCTTGCACTTATATTCTCTCGAGCTCATGTTTGCATAGCTCCCAAAGCTTTGAGCCCAACACAACGTGCATTTTGCCCAGTGCAAACACCGCTGATAATGCAAGAGACAGGCTACTGCTCAATTTCAGAAGCACTGCAACGAGAACGAGTTCAACATTTAAACTGAAGTTTCTGGCAGTGATAACATTAGCTGATTGTATGAGCTGATCGCGGCCTGGTGCACGTTCAATTGATGGACATTTAGTGTGAGTGCATGCGATTTGCTATACCGATCTTCGAAAGCAGTTGCACACGGCGAAAGAGTTTAGGTTTTAATGTTATTGTTCTGTGGCCCAAGTTGTTCGTTCTTGGCCTCGTCAGAAGAAAATGTAAAGGACTTGAATCGACGATCTTACCACACAAATTAGCTCTAGTTTGTCCGTGGCCGAATTGCCTGTGGCATCCTCCTCCGAATGTTCGTGTTCCTTCAAAGCCGTCTTTGGAGTCGTTCCCGTCTAAAGACCTCGTTGTGGCTTCCTCTTCACCTTTCACTCACGCGCTTCTCACCACGTTGGTGTGCCTTTTAATCTCGATAGTGAATCGTACGCGATAAGTCTCCTGTGACTTTCCTGCACTTTGCGCTGATGACAAATCTCCCTTATCTTACTCGCACAAATGACAGTTGCTCTGTAAATACTCCCTAAGAGCTTTACTGTCCCCCTTTTGTCGTCATTTTGGTGCTGCGCGCTCCACACTCAAAATTGGTTGTCGGATGCGCTTGTTAGTAGCCGACCACCCATGGGATTCACTGCAAACGACTTTGCCCACACATGTTTGGACACAGTGCTGCGTCTCATGGTCCCACCTTGACAAGCGTGTCTTAAGATCTGGATGCTCAGGTCGTAAATGTCGGAAAGCAAGCATTCTTGTGACGCTTTAGACGAAAACGACCCGTCCAGCTCACCAAATCGAGCCTGATGTACAAGCTTCAACACAGGCCTTGTTGCCACCTAGCATCACAATTAAGCTCTGTCGACAACTTAAATAGACGCACGATTCCAGTTAAGTAGCCACAGGCCACGTCGTTGACGTCAGGACTTGGAGCCAAGAATGTGATCTGATGTTCAAGTCATCAGATCATTGACCAAGACGACTAAGTCGTACTTCAATGAAGGCAGATCGGATTCGGCAGGGGGAAATTTGCAGCATGGGCAACAGCACTAATCTATGATTGGCTAATAGTGTCAGACAAAAAAAAGCAAGAACGAAAATCCATTTCACTTTTTCTGCATTTCTAAACGCATTTTTGGATTCTTGCCAAGATATGGCCAAGCTCAGCATAAAAAACGTCGATGTTAAGGGCAAGCGGGTGCTCATTCGCGTGGACTTCAATGTGCCTTTTGCGCGGGATGGCTCAATTTCGAATACGCAGCGCATTGATGCAGCGCTTCCAACCATTCAATACGTGCTAGATCACGGCGCGAAAGCTGTCGTGCTGATGTCCCACTTGGGCCGCCCTGACGGAACGCCCAATGTTAAGGACTCGCTTGCACCTGTTGCTGTTGTTGTCGAGAAAAAACTTGGTCGTAAGGTCATATTTTTGAAGGACAGCGTCGGACCCGAGGTTGAGGCCGCTTGTGCAAATCCTGCAGAGGGAAGCGTCATTTTGCTTGAAAATCTTCGCTTTCATGTCGAAGAAGAGGGAAAGGGTAAGGATAGTGAGGGGAATAAGGTGAAAGCGTCTTCTGAAGCTGTGGCTGCCTTCCGCGCCTCGCTAAGCAAGCTCGGAAATGTTTACGTTAACGATGCCTTTGGTACGGCGCACCGCGCTCATAGCTCAATGGTTGGTGTGAATCTTCCGATCAAGGCCGCTGGCTTTTTACTTGACAAAGAGCTTGTGTATTTTGCCAAAGCACTGGATGCCCCACAGCATCCATTTGTATCAATTCTGGGCGGTGCCAAAGTGGCTGATAAAATTCAACTCATCATGAATATGCTTGACAAAGTAGATGAGATGGTTATTGGCGGTGGCATGGCCTTCACCTTCAAAAAAGTAATTAATAATATGGATATTGGAAGCTCCCTTTATGATGCTGACGGTGCCAAGATTGTGATGGAAATCATGGAAAAGGCCAAAGCAAAGGGTGTGACTCTGCACTTGCCCGTGGATTTCGCTATCGGCGACAAATTTGCTGCAGACGCTGCTAAGAGAATTTGTTTGGAAGAAGAGGGCATTCCAGCTGGTTGGATGGGCTTGGACATCGGTCCTAAGTCGCAAGAGGCGTTTAAGGCAGCTGTAGCGAAAGCCAAGACGGTCGTTTGGAATGGTCCGATGGGTGTTTTCGAATTTGACAACTTCGCTGACGGTACGAAGGCGGTTATGGATGCTGTGGTTAGTGCCACTGAGTCGGGTGCAACTACGATCATTGGTGGTGGTGATACGGCCACATGTTGCGTTAAATTCAAAACGGAGGACAAGGTCTCCCATGTGAGCACAGGTGGCGGTGCTAGCCTGGAGCTACTGGAGGGTAAGATTTTACCTGGGGTAGAAGCGTTGTCGTCAGCGTGACTGTTGGTGTCTTCGGTCTGGAAAAGCATGCTGTAGGTAATGCTTTTTTTTCACGAGATTGAATTACTTGAATTGCAGCGTAAGTTGAAAGCCATTGACTAAGCATCACTTGATTTAATACAAGATGGATCAACAGAAGATTTATACAAACTTTACAAAGTTTAGAGGCAATATTTGCAAAATACGTTACACTGTGCTAAAAACAAATAGTGAAATAGGCAACATCTCATACCAAAGCAACGTTGTCGCCGTTGCTCTCAGCATCTAACTGCTCAACCAATCTGCGCAAAATTAATGTCGCCACGTAGCTCTACAACTTCTAATCACTCCCCCCAGATGGTAGTGTCAACAAGATCGTTTAACAGGATTCACAAGTTTGGAGCAGCAAGAGCAGCAAAATCCACAGAATAGGGAAGCGCTTAGACTTCTGTAGTTGAGTAAGAGCCCGTATAGCTCATCTGGTCAAAGCCCGTCATAGCTGCGTAATTATTATACTGCTGTTGGGATTCGTTATACTCACGTTCAGCTTTGTGGCTGTTCCATTCTTCCATCTCACTCTTGTAGCGCGCACGATCGGCTTTCTCCTTTTCGACAAACGGAGCTTTCTGCTCGTCCGTGGCCTTGGACCAAGCTTCACCCAATTGCTTTGAGATTTCCGTATTTTTCATGTCCTGATGTTCAGCTTTAATACGAGGACGCATAACTTGACTATAAAAGAGGAATGCCGAGGACGCGCGCTTGGGAGCGTCTGGATGTTTCTTAGCTCGCTTATTTGGCACCCGAAGAGGGCCATCGTACGCCGCCATCTCTTCTTCGTAGCGTTGCTTATCAGCCTCAGCCGCCACCTTCCAGGGATGCTTATCTTCTTCACTCATTTTTCCCCAAGCGTCAGCGATGGCGCGCATCACGTCCGTCACTTTTGAATTGTCAGGCATCGTAGACTTGATCTCTTCGCGCTTTTCCATGGAAAACAATATGTAGGGAGACTTGCCACGCTTAGGCGCGCCAGGCGCTTTCTTCTGTAGGCGCTTACGCTTCTTTCCGCCAGCAACTTCGGTCTTGATGGCCGCCCAGGCTGCACCAGCTCCGTGCTCATTTGCCGCAAGTGGTTCCATGCTGGTCGTTAGAGGCGCGAAAAGAGCTTGACTTCTCTTGAGTATGCCGTATAGTCAGCGCAGGCAAAAGGGAGAATGGAATGCTCATTATACCATACAAATTTCCTGACAGCTGGCTCTGTTTAATTGTGTGAAGATATAGACATGATTAAATTATAGATATTATACGTCGCCCTCCCCACAGAGCAGCGTTTCTACAATCTTGGCCAGCCAATAGGGAATCATTTAAAATTTAAGCATAGCAATCGACTCAAATTTTTACCATATATGAATAGATTCTTTTCAAAGTTTTCATGTCAGCAATAGCGTCTCGAACCGAAATGCAAGATGAAGGTTACAAGCTCATTTCAAATGCTGTTCGGCAACAACATCCAAAATTCCAGGTACAATAAATACGTATGTTAAGTGTGGTGGCTATGTCGAAAGATCTACTATTTAAAAGTGTGCTGATCGACGAATAGACTGTTTTTTGTATCTAGCAGTCGAAGGGGAATTTAAATGAATTGTACAGATAAAGTCCAAAAATTGATGGTAAGAAGATATTTTTTGACTGATACAGGGCAGAAAAGTATTTCAAATAAAAAAATTGCAATGCAGATTGTGGGGTGTAAATATCATAAATGGATACTTACAAGACTGAGAGAACAATATATGCCTATACAGATGGTTGTGGCTTAGTCAAGGGAAGCTGACGAAATGATGGGTGAGCTACATCACGAAAAAGGACATAATCTCAATTACTTACCTCTCAGTTTAAGCCTGTGATTTTTTAATCAACTCTCGTATAATAGATCGCAAAATATTCCAGAGAAAAGAAATGCATATATATAAATACTCATTAGATAGCTACTTTAATGATTTTTAGACTTGTACATTTACTAATTTAAACAAGGTTAGCGCTCTTGGAGGCTACCTGTTAACGCAAAACTAAATGACCTGTGCAAGGCGACGACTGAGTTTAGCAGACTGTATTTATGGTTGAAATGTCAACTTGTTCCATCCTTCATACACAAGTACACTTACTCCTGTCTTTAGTCCGTCTTGAAGAAATAGACCAGCTGTTGGCAAGCCCAATCTCGCTTATTGCTTGCCTGAAGGCGCTCATCAGTAGAGAACGCACTGACATGACGTAATCAGAATATTTTAATTCATATGTCGGTCGAAGTATGACTCGACTTTACAGAGCTTTGTGAAACAAGACCAATTACATCAAGCGCTGAGACTCTCGGAAGCAAAGGCCGAAGGAATTCCCACCTCAAGATATGAGAGATCGAGACGGCTGCGGTGCGCTCGGTGAATAACGCTTAAGTTCATTCGGCCCTTTTTACTGTAAAGTGTAGTGACGATATCAGAGAGTTGAATTTATCGACAACTTCCCTCACCCATCTGGGCTATAGTCGCATTGTCAAGGAGGTACGGGATTTAACAAATACTTTAAGAGAGTTGGCGTTATGCCTGAAGTGGTCTGCTTTACTTATTTGGCGCAAGCTTCAAGAGTGAAAGCAATTCGCTACAGCACCGCATTATGTCTACGCAAATACATCAGAGGATATCCTTCATCACACGATCAAATTATTTCGTCTGATCATTCGCGGACAGATGTTCAAATGTGGATATATCCAATCTGGTGCTCAGCATCCTGACGGCTGCGGTGTGCTCGGTGAATAACGCTTAAGTTTATTCGGCCCTTTTTACTGCAAAGTGTAGTGACGATATCAGAGAGTTGAATTTATCGACAACTTCCCTCACCCATCTATCTGGGCTATAGTCGCATTGTCAAGGAGGTACGGGATTTAACAAATACTTTGAGAGAGTTGGTGTTAATCCTGAAGTGGTCTGCTTTACTTATTTGACACAATCTTCAAGAGTGAAAGCAATTCGCTACAGCACCGCATTATGTCTACGCAAATAATATCCATCATCAGACGATCAAATTATCTCGTCTGATCATTCGCGGACAGATGATGAAATGTTGATATATCCAATCTGGTGCTCAGCATCCTGAACAAAGTTTAGCGAAAGCATGCTGTAAGTTGTGAATCCCAATCTGATTCTATTGGAGACAATCTTTGTTGATATACCCCTTTGGCCGTATCCTCACTGGTATCGATGTCGCCGACAGCAGCAAGACTAGCCATCGTGATTGAAGGGTTAACAAAGATTACAATGCCGATATTACCAGAAGAGTTTATTGGGCTACCGAAAAGTAAGTCGGTACTTCTAGACTGCTTATGATCTGCTGAATTGGCAGGCTGGTCAAAGCTACCGCCGCATGCGCAGAGGCTTCAACGTTTTACACGTACCACAAGTGTATATACTTACACGTGTTGAGCCACCAGTTCATAGCGCATACTAATCTAAACGCCTATTCTTATTCCAGGCAGTCATCCCATGTGCCTTGTATAGCATTATAATGTCAAAATCATCATGAAATACTACCACACGTAAAGTCAGTGTTGTGATACAGAATTTTGTGGGAAAAGGAATAGTGCTCCCAATAAGCAACCAAGGGCGTCAATAATGCGGCAAGAAAATTTATGATTTCCGTATCTCACTCTTTTGTCAGCGCAACACATGTTGCGTCTATTCCGTACGCCGTAAATATTGCTCCGTCGGTTGGCGAAGTCGCTAAGGTGATATGCGACGGTGTATAGTAAAGGTGATTGTTTGCCGCCACATTTTTCTTAATCCGGCTTATACCTGACCTCGAATGTATCTCCGACAATGAAGAATAATCGTCTTGGCAATTACTGTATGAGAAGAAGCGGTGTCGATGTCGCTGTAAGCGGGGATATACGATCGGTATAGACCACAATATCGGCCAAGAGTTGACCCTGAGCTAAAAAAGGGTATATATCGTTTCAAATAGCTTCCTGTCGCGACATGGATAGCTGGCTAGACTAAAATATGGCCACGTGTCATGAACATCGGCATCTGTTTGGAGTAAGGATAGCGAAATCTAATTAAATGTATAACTAACAGTCAGTGACGAGCGGCACCCACTGCAATTTCAATAAAAGTCAGATGAACGCGGAAGGTGTCGATGCGAGCCGAAGATGTCGAACCCCTCCGTGAAGATGTAAAATGATACCAACCTTGCAGTAGGGTTTATTGCCATTGCTACGATAAGAGTTCGCACCTTTTGAACATAATCTTAGATCCGGCGGGTGAATTTTGTCTTGAAAAGCACGTTATTTGCCGGCATAGGCGCTGAGAATTAACGGGACATTTGCTGATACTTTACGTAAGGGCCTATTCTTGCGCACGTGCTCGTAGTTGGTAGACCATAAGCGCAAGGCGCTGTTGCACCACCTAAAGCATGGCCGAAATCATGTCCATCTCGATTTTGACAGCTCAAAGAGAGATTTTTTCGGACTCTAGCCTCAAAGGGCGAATTATTAACGCTTGCAGTTTATGGTGGGTGTCGTTCATGCTCCCATCAACACCGAGTTGGAACGTTGCACCCTAGTTTTTGACGCCTTTTGGCAAAGAAATTTCTTTTCTATAACTTATTAACTCATTTATTGATCCCTATGAGACCGACGACAGGGGTGATCGTACTAAGCATATGTACCTGTCCTATCCAAACAACTCCTGTTCCATGCAGCAGCGGAGCTGTCGTAGATCTTTCGCTTAGAGGTAGCTGGGTTACGGTCGGTGACCTTCGTTCGAAACTTAGAACCAGTACGAGTGTAGAGGCCCGCAATTTACTTACTCCAAGAGTGAATACATCCTTAACCCAAGGCTGGCGAGCTCTTCCGTTTAAAGCGTTAGCTGTATTTCTCGTTTTGCTTGCTGCAAAGCTGCAGCGGGGTTGCCGAAGCTCTTTGCTTAGAGGAAGCTAAGCTATGGTCACCAACCTTGCGTTCTTTACAAGAACCAGAACGAGTGTAGCGGATCGCAATCCACTACCTCCAAGTACTTAAAACCTAACCCGAGGCAAATGAACTCTTCTGCTCAAAATTAAAACTATATTTATTTGTTTTAGTTGCGGTAGAGCCGCCAGTATTTAAAACCCAAGGCTTAATACAGTAATACCTAACTAGTATAGTAAAATCTAGTTAATACGCCTGCCACGTAGTGGCTTCTTGTCACGGTGTAGCCACACCACTGTGTTATTACACCAACTTGTGTAGTCCACATCTATTTTTGGCCACGCCATCTAACCTTTTGCTATAGGGTACGTGCAACCCCGTTACAAAAGCCGCCTATATCTAAATCTATAAGCATTTCCATCTATTAGTAAAACCTAATTAAATGTATAACTACTGGCTGATCCAGCCAGTACTGACTACTTGTTTAAGTGAAGCCACACCATCTTGTGTTAGCCACACCTTTCCAACCAGTACGTGAAACCCCGTTATACATGCTCAAATACACAATAGTCTCAAGCAACTGGTTTTAATTTTGATGCCAAATGTTATCAAGTCCAACGGGGTTGCCGTGCATCGTTGGAAAACGATATTTTGAGTCAAAATGGCTCGCCCAAACGCACTGAGAATGGACCAACCAAGTCGACCCAAAAACATCTAACGTAAATAAGCATTTCGTTCGCTCTTTTATTCAAAGAGTAACATACATATATGACTGATTATACTTAAATACTACCAAATACATGCATACATAAATTGTTTCTCTATGTTTTATGATAGTGTATCCATATTGCTCGAGGTGACTGTACAGGGTATAAAACTGTGTTACCAATACTTTGGTGTTGCTAATGGCCAACGTGTATTTTGTACAAAAGTGTAGTAATATAGACGCACTACTGTGTGTACATACGTCCCGTTACACCTGGTCGTAGCTAGACTCATATACATATATAGTTAAATTTTGAAATAAAAGAGAAACTTTGACTCGCTAAATAAACGATCCCTCGGAAAAGCAACTTAACACACAAAGCTGGCTAGTGGATTAACGCAACTCCAAAATTAAATATGCTTAATCACTTTCCTGATCCGTGTAGACATCCTGGTGATATTGATGTGTGTCAATGTGCACACGGTGAAGGTGCAGCAGCACTACGTCGTCGTCCAATTAGCTCGAGTTCCTGATTATGTGAGATCTGGTCTTTATTCAAAGGAAATGGCACAAAGTTGTCAAATCTTGATTACTCGGATGCACACGGTTATGTAATAACACTGGTCGTAATTTATATATTAGAGTTATACAATTGTAGTTTTCGTTACATTTTCAGAGCACATGACTAACATGTGTTCATGTACGATTTGACGGTGGTTCAAGCACGATTGCAGACACGAGGTTTCTTACATTCATGAAGTTTGTATTCTGTTGCTTTCCTTACAAGTTAATCGCAGAATATTCAAAATTCTGGCCTGAGAAATGCTTCAATAAACACGAGGATTTTGGGAGATAGGGCAGGACAAACCATGTTCGCGGTAATTTTCTTATGTTGTGGAAGCACCGATAATTACAAAGAGTAAGAATGTGGGGTTTGAACCTACTCGTGAGATTGTCATTGTGTAAAAAATACAATGTAAGGCGTGCTCGATACATACTTGTGAGATGTATTCTAAAGTTATGTTTATAAACTGCTCAGCACAGATAGCTTGGCGTATGATGTGTCAGTTATGCTCTGTATAAAATTCTTTATTTGGAACTTGTCGTCTATTGTATTTCTGTTAAAGTCTTAAATCCAACAAAAGAAAGCTCTTTGCCTATTCCAGATCAGATACCCGAGCTTGCGAACACAGCAACGGCGGTCGAACTTCGTCTCATATAAAACCAGGACATGATTTTCTCACAATCCAGACGACACTTTTGGTAGTACGTCGTTCCGCGTCAAATTGTTTTGTTATATTTGGCTTACTAAATCGACTTCCCGAGGGATTAACTACCGTACAAACAAAGCGAATGATCTATGTCTCGTCTCTACATGTACGCGAGCACAAACAAACAAATTGTAGGCTTGCACATACCACTTGGCGTGACTACATGCGCGACATGCCATATTGTGCTAAATTGTATTTTCACCTGTGGTGACATGACGACAAGACAGTTCTTTGTCTTTGGATCTTGAATGAAAAATATAACTTGATCCTCCTGAAGTTCGAGCAGAGAAAGAAGCTTACTTTTCAATTTTTCGACCGATACAACAATCGCGGTCACTTCTCAAGCATGAAATTTTTTCTGCGAACTTCCGCGATTTCAGCAGTGTTCATGCTCCCGCACATCACTGATGCTTTAAATGTGAGAATGTATGGCATGAATTACAATACGCGTAAGGGATGCGATTGGGAACCCGAAAACATCAAATGCAAGTCCGCGACTGAAGTGCAGAGGGACTTGTATGCATTGAAAACAGTTACTGACCGAGTGCGTATCTACTCGCTCGTCGACTGCAATCAAGCGGAGCACGTACTTCCAGCTGCCAAAAATGCCGGTTTGCAAGTCGAGCTTGGAATCTGGACAACTGCCAGTCATGATTTTCTTTTGCAAGAGAAGGCCAAGCTTGCCTGGCTCATTGACACAGGATTATACGACAACAATGTAATCGCTTTGCATGTTGGCAGCGAGACCATCTATCGCAAGGAGATCACAGCCACCACTGCCATCAATTACATGAACGAAATTCGTGACTATCTTCGGAGCCGCGGATTTCAAACGCCTGTGACCATTGCTGATGTGATCGACATCTACTATGAAAACCCGCAACTTGTTGATATGGTTGACTTCATTGCTGTAAACATGTTCTCATATTGGGAAGGGGTGCATGTGAATGACGGCACGTCAAGAACGCTTGACCGCATCCGTGCTATCCGTGTTACAGCTGTAAACAAGAACAAGGTTATGATTCTCTCTGAAGTCGGATGGAGCTCGGGAGGCTACAACACGACGACAGGCGAGTCTTCCCCTGCCGCCCAGGCCAAATTTTTTTCGGAATTTTTTCAAATTGCTCGCGCGAGCAACATCCTTTTCTACTGGTACACTGCCTTTGACTCAGAGTGGCGTGTGAGGAATGGCGGATACGATGTAGAGCGTCACTTCGGAGTTTTCAGGGAAGACGGCAGTATGAAACCCAATTTCGAGCAGCTACAAATCGGCTGGATGGAGCCTACTGTCATTCGCAGTTCTGTGACGAACATGCTGCTGTCCACAAAGGATGAAAGCATCTTCATGTCAGCTAAGGTCAATGATTGGCTGGTGAAAGAGCAGCAAACGTGGTTTTTTGATCAGTACACTCAACAGGTGCGTTCGCAATACAGCGATCATTGCCTGGATGCATACCAGCCTTGGGATGGAGGCATTGTACATCCTTATAGCTGCATCGACGACGAAAAGAACCAAAAATGGAGATACGACAAGGATACCAACAAGCTTGTACACGCGACTTACAACGGAATGTGTTTGGACGTGGACCCGGCACGGAACAACATAGTGCAGCTGTATGGTTGTTCGCCCAACAATCCGAACCAACAATGGGTCGTCCTCACATGGTCAGACTCTTAAGGCATCCAAATATTGTGTTGCTAAGACTCATTCTTTCTACACGCACTGGTTAACAAAATGATCCTTTTTTGAAACTTCTACTACTTTCTTCGCAGTCAATCGTAGTGATACGACTACGCGCACTACATCTTTGTATGCTCTCAGACCTTCGCTAAATGTGAAAAGCAGTATGAGTGTTTTAAATAATCTAACAGCACTTACATACTCGTGTTCTGCTATTGACAATTCGTTTTAATAATTTTATGATGATGAACCGACAGTATTATTACAGGCTCGTCCTGGTCAAGATTACCCGTACTCAACCACATTTCGAAAAGTAGTCGTTTGATAATTACAAAGGCACTTGTTTTGGAGAGATGCACAAGTGGATTTTAGTTATGTATATTAAATTAGGTTAACTATTCAACTATGAAAACCTAAGGTTTTAGATATAAAACAATCTAAAACAGTTTCAATTGAACGGAAGAGCGTCTTTGCATTTGTTAGGGTTTTTAAGTAGCGGATTGCGATCCGCTACACTCGTACTGATTCTGGTATAGAGTGTAAGGTCAGTGACCTTAGTCAAGCTTCCTCTAAGCAGAGAACTACGGCAGCCCTGTTGCCTTAGGTAGCACTTGTAGTTTAGTGACGCCTGTTTTGTTACGACTGATCCTCTGTGAGGATGGAGCGATTCTCCAATTTGCCCCACGGCATCCAAGGCGGGCTTAGAAAGATGATGTCCCTGCTTTGCCCTGAGGACGTGCAACAACTTACTTCGCAAAGACCTGAGGCGATAAGCGCGCGCCTAGAGGCATTTTCAAACCATGAAAATGCTTTGTTATAGGCTGCCAGCGTCGACTGCGTCCATGACGCCACTGTTGACGACGGATGACTCCTCCCAACCTAGGCCGCTCATGGTGAGTGTTAAGCCCTTCGAGGATAAGAATGGAGAGAATTTCATACTCCGGGGGATAGAGGCCGAGGTAGCTATGACATCCGCCATGCTTCAGAATGAGCAACAGAACGTGGCGCTAGCTATCTCCAAGCTCGGAAGCCAAGCACGAGAATTGGCATTTACGTGTGAGCCTTCGGTTGAAACGGCGTTCCCCACCCGGAAGGAGCTGAAACGTCAGCTTTGGCGAGTGTTCTTGCCGACTTATAGGGCATATCGCGTGAGATCGCGTTTTCTTGCTGCCCGACAGGGCAAGAAAGAGTTGGCGGACTTTGTCCAAAAATGGAGAAGTCTTATTGCCGGGATGGCAGCGAACCTCTACCCGAGGCGGTCGCAATGACCGTCTTTATGGGGGTTCTCCGCACTGGCGTGGCCAGAATGGAAGTCTTCATCCGTCTTCTTCTGAAGAAGCGGTCAATGTGGTAATGAATGCCGAATTCAACTTTAAGGCAGCACGACTTGTTTGGAATGCGCACCCTCAGGGCGAGACGATCGGGCCTAAGCCTATGGATCTCAGCTATGCTAAGAAGGAGGAGGGAGAGTTCCGAGCTGCTGAGCAGCGTGTAAACACCCAGCGGTGTTTTGTTTATGAAGACATCCGTCACCTTCGGACAAGTTGTCCCTTGCGCAAGGTGCGTAAGAGTTTGTCAAACTGACGTCCCGCTTCTAACCAATCTGGTTTGTCGTGGGGAAACGAAAACACCCAATAGGCGCGGGGCGTCCTACCGACTTCTGTTGAGCCTCGAAGAGGTAAAGGGCAACAGGGCCCAGCCCCGAAGAGCTGCATGCTCTTGAACACGGAACGTTTGTGCAAGCCGGGCTTGGTGGTCGTAAAAGCGACTGTGAAGGGCTTTGATAAGCTATCGGGAATCCTTGTTGATTCTAATGCGTCGGGCAATTAACTCAACACTTCACGATCAAAAAAATAAGCTGTATGCTGACGCGCTGGATAAGCGAGCTTACAATACACTAAGGGTGTATTATTTGTCCTCATCGCATCAAACACCACTGGTCCTCCTATATTTCAGACTCCACTCTCTGCGTGTCGCGATATGCCAAATTGTACCGATCGCTTCGAATAGTCTGGATATTGAATCTTCGTGCCTAGCGCTGATGTTACAAACATCATGCCGCTGCAGTTTTGACATATTTTAAATTGTTTAGATCCGTCTTTGGTGCCTAATCGAGTCCTTGTAACTATTCGGTCTATTTTGCTGAAGTCGATATCGCAAACGCCAACGCAATATCCGCGTCGGGCCTTTGGCCATACTTAATTAGCCCGCTATAAAGGTTTTCCACTTTCGCGCTTCCGTGTTATCCTTGGATCATATCTTACCGCATTTAAGGTGTCTCTTTCCTGCATCCTGCCACCAAGACAGTTCTTGTTGGACTGCGCGAGATACACCAGCTCTTTCGCTTATCGCAAGTTGTCCGTCCGCGCCGGATCTAACCCACACAGCATTGACTTTTGTCGTGGAATTTGCATAGAAAGTAATGCCTGTTAGAAGGTTGTTCATATTCTTAACTGTTTCAGTCAGCGCCGCGAAATATAAAAATTGTTCTGCCCAGCTTCGCTCACCGCTTTTTACCAAGCGTTATGCCTCAAATTGGCGGTATCTTGTTAGTCAACATCTGTAATTACCTCTAAACTGCACGATTCATCGCTTCTCATCATCCTTTTATCTGCTGATTGTCAAATCTTTAGGCCCTCTTGACGTGATGTTGGGCCAGTATGTCGACCTGAACGTCTTCTAAAACCAGGAATCTACAAGCACTGAATCTTCCAATTAAAGTAATTTTTCCACGACAAAGTATCTACTAAATCCATAGACCAGTTTCCTTCCGCTGATTCGCCTAATTCCTGTCGTACTCTGCCGCGCGTTTGGTACTCTGAAGCCTCTCACATGCACTGCGTGTACCTGTTACCGTTATATTATCGGTGGCATATATTGTTGCGGTAGTTCAGTTTGTCTAACCTGAGCTTTCAAAGTTTGATTGTTTCATTTCAAAAGTTGCCGATATTATACTTTTTGATGAGCGGAGATTACTTCAGCGAATCCTCAAACGGCTCCATTCCGTTACCCGGCGCGGACTCATACATTGCAAGATGACAAAGAAACTCTTCGTTTTGTCATCTCAGTGCCTCCAGCCAATTCATCCGTTCCACAATCCCGCTCACCATTTGTAATACAATAACTTGTCCGCCTTCCAGACCTCCACCATAACCCTAGATCGATACTTTATCTGGCGATAAACGAAATTTCTCGGTCATTACCCATCGTATGGCAGGTAATCGTAAGCAGGTAATCGTCGCGACAGTCAGACAACTTCATCCTCGGTCCTTAGATCTTTATATATTTATACCCAAAACGCTTTCTCGCTAGTGATTTTGGCTGGGGTCGGTGGGCGATTAAATAAGCGTACATCTGAATTTTTCCGTTTAACGTTATCACTAACTGTTGAATAGCGAGCGCGATGATCAGTAAATTGCCTGGTTATTTAATTAAAAAGGTAACAGTGTGGTAATGAGCGTCCAGACCAAATTCCCAATGCCGATCAAATTTAGTGCTTTTGTTTTCTTGGAGGAGACATCTCCTTAGAATTTGGATCACACGATACAGCGCAATCTGTCGTCTAATGCGCTGATTTTGTATCGTTGACCTTAGCCGTAAGAATCGGAACCACTGTGATCGTCATATGCCGGCCGACTTATCGCGGTCGAATTCTGTACACCCAAACTTGCAGACAATGATGCGACCTATACAGACCATTCGACAATTTCGCTCCACCTCCTACTTTCAAAATCAAAACAATGTTGTTAGTTTCTTTCACCCATTGTGTCATTCTTACTCTTTGCAATCAGAGCACCACTGTGCTAACTTTGTCTGCTTTTGCATGCGCTTCCAGGATCAGAGTTCGATTCCTTGCGTACCCACACCGCTGAACGGGCAATCTAAAAAGGCACGGCTCAATGGCTTAAAACCAACCGCGTCATATTTGGTTAGAAAGTCACGGTATATATTGACCAGAATAGTAAAAGTGACTTTTTGAGTTTTTAGTGATACCACAGGCCTCATAGCGAGTCACAAGAGACAGCCGTCTTTTAAAGTGATCATTCTGTACGCTTCGCCTCTTATCTGCATGTGTTCCGCGCTAGGTATGCATTCTTTTCGGTGGAGATTGTATAGGACCCCGTCGTGGAGCTCGCGACAACGTTTAGCTTGTTACAAATGATATTGATCAACGTCTCGAAGGTTGTTGCGACAGTCGCAGACTCAGAGTGGGCAATCTGATGACGCAAACAAAAGACAAAACAACGGTGTAAGCTTCATTTAGGTCACCAGAAATACATTTTCCGCATCCAAATCATCTTAATTTCGCCGCTTGATAAAGTTAACGAACTTTTTTTGAATAGGTTTGCAAAAGCGGATTTGATAAGCTAATAATTTTTCTGTACAAAATGCCCGAATGATCAATTTTACTTAGCCGCATTTGTCGTTCCTTCTGGCATTGAGTCTTCATCAACTAGATAGTACCAGACTTAAAACTATACTTGCTTCACTTTATCCTATTCTTGGTAGGTCTCGAATGTATAACATACTTGACAGTCCAAAGCGGGAAGCGATAATCATTTGCCTGGAGGCTCTCACCAGTTATATAAATGCGCTGGTACAACAATTTCAGGAGCGCCTCACCATTAGTTAGTAAAGGCTGAATCGGCTTATTACCGAGGGCTGTTTATGTCAAGTGCTCGGCCTATCAATTGCAGGGACAATTTATTTTGGATGAGACGAGTTGAGATAGTCAAACGTCGGTCACACTTTCGACGGACATCGGAAAGTCATGCGCTCTTCAAGCTACCTGGTCGCGCACAAGAATGAGGATCTGAGTGCTCTGCGGAATAGATATTCTATTCTTGGATACTATTGCGGCGACGTAGGGAACGGTTGGTCACACTGGCTGATGCGGCGAGCTATATGCTGTCAAACACATTACCCATTTTGGGAAATAAGACATAGCTGTGATGAGACGCGGTCTTAGAATGAGATGAGAAGTAAATATCTTCTACAGAGTGTGTCTCTTGTGGCACAGAGAATTGCCATGTAATGTCGCAGTCCCTCGACTACAACTCGGGTCAGCATTTAGTTTCAATTGTAAGATGGGGCTATCGAAATCACTTTATGATGTGAACATGAAAGTGTAGTGTATTTCGTGGTCTAAGACAACGATCTATTCACGACGAGTTGGTGCGGCTTAGTGCCGCAATCGCCTGAATAATAATGGGCGGGAATGATCGATTGTGAGCCACTAGTAATTATGTTATCGTACTGTTAAGTCAAGCGTACGGGAGAAAAGTTCATTTATTCGTAAATGATTTCTCAAAGTAGTCATAGGTCGTGAAGGTCGCCTTTCGGTACTTCGACAATAGATTCTCATCGAGCATGAATAGCGATTTCTTTGGAAAGTGTGCAAAAATTGCAAGAGGGCGAAACACCGAGGTTATACGGCTGGTCCTGTGAAATGAGTTGATATCACCATTCGTCACGAATGAATCTGTAGTTGAAATGAAATTAAGAAGAGGAAGAGAAAGGAATAGATAGGCTGTTCTCAAAGATACTACGAGCACTTTGATACTTAAGCGAATAGTGACGAAAGAACCACCAAACGTGTTGCTCCCCGTTCGGGAAGGGAGACCTGGAAAAAACTCTATCCTGAAACTAAATTTCGCGTCACATGCTAATTATTCACATTGAGACACCAGTGTTACGTCATCAAGCTATCATCCGTGCAAAGCACGAGTATTGATTGGTTCGATAGATATAAATTTCTCCATTTGAAGCCAAACTTTTACTATCATGTATAACCAACGGCAAGTGGCGAATCGTGCATGTTTATAATGTAGATACCAAGAAAAAGATTGCCGAATAGCAGCTTAAATGTTTGGCTATTGATCAATAATGTTCAGCAAGCTGAATGTTAATCCCACTGCCGATGAGATACAGTGTCATACCACTCACTCGTATAGAAGAATACTTCAAGCCGAATGGTCTGGGACTGACTCCTATTTTTGAGAACAATAAAACGCGCAAGCGATGCTCGACACTGTGATGACGCAGCTTTTAAGTTGCATCGTGCCTAGCACAAACCTATTCAGATGATGTTCTTATTCATAATTATACAGAGCACAGAAAATTGATTGTGGGATTCCCAACAAACATTTGCAGTGCTCAATTGTATGCGCTCAAGCAAGCTGGTGACAGGCTCGAACAAAAAGTCTCTAGGATGCTCGATTTAATGCATGGTTCGCGAGAGATCATGCGAAGATCAAGCTCTTCGTGGAGTGGCCAGTGACACTGTCACATGACAATATTAGTAAAGCTACTAGGTTTGGTCAACTATTCACACATATTTAGTATAAATATAACTTTTCACCATTTTCCTTGTAGATATTGTCAAATGATGCTAGGTTGCGATAAAAGAAGAGCATTCTAGAACAGTAGAAGGAAGCCTCCTGTATGCTTGATTTTGGCCCTAACGGATTTGGTTCGGTCACCATGTCGTCTGTGAGGCTTCGGCTATTGTTCGTAGCCTAGGATTTATGCCAAGCAGATGCAAAACGTGAGTCTACTTTATCGCGTCTATCGCAATTTCAAAAAGATCTCTTCAGCTCAAGGCAGAAAGCTACCTGCAACGAAGTAACCCTTTTCAGGCGTAGGATACAGTTGTAAGGTTCTTAACGCATTTAGATCCATGCGATCGTGCGTTGTTGCGCACAGTGACGTCGTGACCGTATTTGTTGCATAGAATGGCAAGATTACCGTAATTTTTGTCGAGCATATCCTCGGGGTACAAGCCGGGTTGATTTGGTAGCGGATGCGCTTTTGCGTCTCGCAAAAAATGAGCTGGCATGTGTCTCAATGAGGCGATATGGGGCATATGCAGCATGTATTGTATTGTGACACTTTAAGAAGTTGTCAGCTTAAGCACATCGAAGCGTTTGGTTGCACGTTTGAATCACTCTTTCTTCATTTAACGCTTGCTGAATTTACGGTATAGCAAGGAGTGATGATACCTTTTAATTCGGATCTGGAGCACATAATTATCGTACTACCACTTGGGTGGCCTCATTGGTGATAGGAGACGTACGGATTAGTGAAAGCCGTATATGAATGTTTAACTGGTTTATTATAAATATGCTTGTGAATAAAAATTACAATTAAAGAATCTTCGCCATATGCGACGGCGCCCTTGATAAGCACGTCAATGTTCACGGTCCATAAGCACGGCCATTTTCTCTAGTAACATATTGGGCGATACCGGCATTGCGATATTTGTGTGTATCGTCTGAGCAAGATAGCTAATCTTGCTCCAGTCAGCAGCACCGTAATCGAGCCAAGTATATGCCATAAGTTGAATGCCAACAAGGCTTACATGGTCTTATTTTTCTATATCGATATCGTGCTTGAGCGCTATATTGTGGCAACTCGTTTAAAATGCCCGGCAGCAGATTGGACATGCTCAGCGCTGACAGTCTCCAGAAAGTTGGTCAAACGGAGCATGATAAGTAAATGGTGGGGAATATTTTTCAATGTATTTGCGTGGGCTGGGTCACCAATAATGAAAACTCAGGTTTAATTGCTATTTTCAGGAGCCAAAATGATCTAAAATCCAGTTTGTTTTAATATAATAAAGTCTCAACAGCTATAAATTCGATATAGCTATATTGCATTGGTATTGCATGGCGTGAGGCTATCAGCCCACGCGTTCAATGAGTTTACCTTTTAAAGTACTATTCTCATTCGCAACAATATTGTTCACGATTGTTTATCATGCACCATATTTGAAATTCTAGAGTTTGGTCTCAGGGTCGAGGGACAATAGTGTTAGGTGTACGTACATATAACATGGTTTGTACCTTGTTGCACGTGGGGTTCGCAATATTTATACAGAGATAATAAGTTTAGACACCTTTCAGACTACCTGCGTGGGAATGCCTTTCATGGGATAAGTGTTTGACACTGCTCAGTCTTTGAAGTTTTAATAAATTTGGGTGTGGCCGGATTAAAATTATACACAGTCTTTCTGATTCAGGTATCAGGATTTCTAAATATTATTTTGGATGGCTTAGTCGTTGTGATCAAGTGCTCAATACCAAAACTTTCTTCACTCAAACCCACTACAACGCTTGTCTACAATAATTGGCCCAGCTTCGTTCAAGTCGGAATTAAATGGGTGACATATCCTTACCTTTCTGTCTTCACGATACCTCACGGTCCTCTGCTGATTGTGCTCAATGAAGCTTGCCAAAATCAATGAAAACTCATGCAGTTCATGACATGCTGCAACGTCCTACTTCTTACCTTCTGTCCGACGTAAGACGTTGCATAATGTCAAATGAATAAAATATTTGTTGATAATCTTGTATGGGTATGTTGTCTTCACCAAAATTGCCTTCCATCGTCTCTATAAACGCTTTTTAGCTATAATTTGTTACCTGGTGTCGTTTTAACTACCTCGTGATGGCAACTCTCCAACGGACCAGCTTGACAGTGTGGTGGTTAGCAAGCGCAACCGAAATTCTTAATTGTATATGTTTTTATCTAGAAATTCGACACGACTCTAGTCTGCCAAAAGGACAATTTGTTTGGATTCTTGTCTAGTCTCAAATATATTTACAACGATTTTTTGCGTGACTATTACATTAATTTAGCTCAGTAGTCTTCTCCAGCATCTCTCCTTTGATTGCTCTACTTAAACACAAAAACAGCTTCGCCAGAACATAAATCGTAGCAGTGTCAATTTCACAAAACTTGTTCAGCTAATTTTTAAAAATATTTTGTCTACTCAAAACCCACCCAAAGATACTTTCCAGGTTGAAAATAAGCGACCCGTATATTGCGCTCACTATTTAGCTATCTTAGTCCGAGAACAGTATTATGTGGTTTGATCGTCGCATTCGATTTAAAATCACATGATGTATGTCGAGTGAATCGTTGATATATTACAGCAAACTTTGATAAAAGGACTAGTGAAGTAGACGTGCGACAAACGCTAGGATAAATAGATTTCCAAGCTTCAATTGATATACTTCCTGCGGCTTGTAGCAGTACAGGACATGTTTTGTCCGCTCCGTACACTTGATGAACTTACCGTTAATGCGCCGTATCACCATCCAGAGATGTAACCGTGCATAGACTGGGTGGCCCAAGAGTGGACACTGAATCAACACATTTTACATTACAAGTTAAAGGTGTTCCCAGCAGCATATAATAGCCTTTCTCATTTTTTGTAAAGGAAGTCACTGTCATGAAAGGTATATATCTCTACTGGCCAAATATGCTCCCCAATCTCAGTACTACTTTGCTCTTCTTTGTTGATGGTGAGATTAAAAGCAATGACACGCTTAACACGGCTGGCATCTGCTTAGAGCACCACCTACGGCAAAGGCCGAAGCGTCACCAAAGATAAGATATGCATAATTGAAAACTGAGGGTCAAAATCGGGTACGCACGAGGGATTTTAATATCGTGTTTGAGGCCGCTTCTTCTGTTCACACTCCATCACCATGTGACATCCTTTTTGGAGCGATTGACAAGAGGTCGTGCTATGTCGTTGTAATTTAGATCGCACTTGTGCAAGTAGTTGGCAACGCCAAGCCACCATCATTTCAGATAGTGGCAATGATGATCAACTTTGGTCTGAACTGAAATTTCATGGGAGCTATCTGCCTGCAGCGAGTGTACTCAAAATAATACCTCGGAAATGGGGTCATTGGCGCTACACTTTTGTTAGTCGATAGATGTTTGCCTGAAACCCTTTCAGACAAGCATTGATCCCAAGTCTCAAATGCAATGCCCAACCGCAATCAGAGTTGGCCTTGCGACAGTTAATCATATTCAATACTAGGTTTGAGTACTAAACAAGTTTCTATTAATGCAATTTAGCAGCACGTCTTCTTTAAAAAAGGTTGTTTGCGCTGTAATGGTCACCGCAACTACAGCTTACATGATGTGTCACTCGCCATAAGCCTTCATAGCGCAATAAGGCGGTATCAAGTGGCGCGACTCACTCTTTCTCACCAAGAGAGAAGCGTGCGAGATCACGCTATTTCCTAAGAAAAGATCATTGATGTGAGATAAACAATTCGTTTTCAAGATCAGGTCAATTTCCTGACGCATACCTCGAAATGAAGGCGACGCTTTTGGCATTGCCCTCATCACCACAACATGAGATATCTACCACAAGTGATAAGCACGTAAATCTCTTGACGGTATTAATTTCACATCTCTCACTCTATGTTCTGTGGGGTTTTCAATAACGTGTTCGTCCAAACGATCAAAGTGCTCGGCTTCAATTATTCTAACTTGGTAAGTCTGTATTTTTCCAATTTCTTCAACGCATTGCTTTATTTAGAGATAACGCTTACATTCAATTAAAGCTCTTGCATACGGCAATGGGAGACGAACATTTTTAAAGCGCTCCCGATTAATCCATTCACAAGTAAATGGCCTTTATCATTTCAAACCCGTGAGATTTAGTACATCGCACAGTGGGTGTATGATATGATAGTGCAGGCTTAGCATAATCATTCTATTAAGACAAGAATAGACCATCCTCAAGAATATTAGAACCGGGATCTCTTACTTGCGACCACCATACTTGCAACTTTCAAATGTCCATCTACACCGGCTGAAGCGCGCAGCACTAGGCAACTCTGCCCCGTCTAAAAGTAAACAAGCCGTAGAGACCGCGACACATCGTCACTTCAACCGTCCAACCATAGCCAATAAATTCAAAACCAAGCCAAGACAACGTTCCACGCGGGCAAAGTCCTCTACTATCAGAGGAGGTCAACAAACATGCTTTACTGGGCGAAAGATCCAATCACAAGATACAAGAATGTATATCAGTTGGCATCATCGATGCTTTCATTTATCTACTGGTTTCGACTGTCGCACATCCTTTTGCGATAAACGACGCTCTTGAAACTACCAATCCGATATGGCTTCACAAAGCTCGAGACGTTGATGTTATCAATAAAACTTTGGGCTCCATGTTTCTTAGAAAGTCTCGTATGCTATTGAGCTCGAAGTGTACGAAATAGTAAGCAATGCCGACGCTGAAATTCGACTTGTTCTTGCGAGAGCTTTGTCCCTCAAATCTGCACGGTAAGTCGAGCTTCTGCTCTTTTCAACAATGCAATAATAAAATTTGCAGGATTTGAATGTTTGGTTCTGCTACATATGTAACATTTTTGAGCGCCTCGGTGCTGTTTAGCAGCTAGTAATTTAATCTCCCTTCACGATCCATCGCCTATAATGTGCTAACAGAGCTTTCACCTATTGTTTTCGTAGCGCCCACGCATAAGTCAAAAAGTGCTCTGCATTTAATACAACACCCAGCAACTCCTCGAAGTGGTAGGTAGACGCGGTCTTGGGGCGAGCTACATCTACTGATGACCCTAAAAAATGGAAGTTGATACCGATATCGTGAGAGGGTATGCTGCGATACAGCTCCTGGACCTAAAACGCTGGATCTGGTCAACATACATTGCTGGACACGAGTTTCGCATGCAAACGGTGCGTCTGACCAGACGGCGCGTCCACCAGCAATGTCTCTCGTCCCCTATTGGGGTGCGTTTTTCTACATCAAGACCTCACTAAAGTGCTCATTCTCGCGCACGAACTTTTTTCTTAAAGACCACTAGTGCCATACACTCTTGCTTCGTCTGGATCAGGCTAAACTTCTTATCATCTAAGGACCCCTTACCCCAGAAATTTTTTTGCCATATTATCGCTCACCCTCGCAGAGGAAACATTCTTTATTGCATTCGGCTGCAGAACTGACAATAATGGCTACCAAGTGCAATGGAATTGTCGTGCAACTTGCACACTGGAAATTCTGATCGTACGAGTCGCATTATGCATTTCTCTCGTTAGAGTGAAATTGTGTGGATGTCGAAAACTTTTGTTCTTAGCCCTTTGAGTAATATGTTGTGAGCTAAGTCTAGTTGAAAAGTGTACCAAACTGTCGTGGGACTAGCATCTCATGTGTGCAACGGACTATTCATCGGCAAGTCGTGATAATTACATCAAAACGGAGTACTAGTTGAGGTACTCCATCATTATTCTTCACCTTGGTGATTCTGAGTTTTGCTCGGACAATAGAAAAAAAGTACAGGTAGGGTAAGTAGTCCGTTACACAGCCCGTCACTGCCAGTCACATGCGATGAGGAAAGTTCCGCATCCTAGGGATGGCCTTTGATTCCCTCCCTTCTGTTTGCTCAACGAGAATTTTTAAGCCAAAGCTTGTGCATTGTATAGATTCCTTATTGCATTCCACGTAGAAAAGCACCTAAGCCCTCACGATCATACAGCCACTTACCGAGCTACATCTGACCATAAGTTCGCAGAACTATATCATGGTGATTGCATGCATTGAATTAAAGCTAGTATTTATCTTGGAAACAAATTGTGGTACGCTATATATATATATATCAAGAAGAAAATTATTGCCATCTTTTAGAATAAAGGAAATCACGTTACGCTTTACAGCATTCCTATAACAGCGCTTCTTTAAATTCTTAAAAATGTATAACAAAGATCCATGTCGCTTGCTAGGGACTATCACTTAAATACGAAGGATGATTCTTGCCAATTTTGCGGCACCGCATGCCTTTATCGTAGCTTATCAGCTCCTATTTAGAGAACGATCAGCGGCTTGCACCTTGATCGTGAGCTGATGAGCATCGTTAGTCTGATGTAACTCCGACATACAGAATGTTGCCTCGATATATCCGCATGTTATGAAATATGTTATTCGGACACTACATGTTATTCAAACATCAATTTGAACTAATTTTGGCTAAAAAACTCTATCAAAATCGTAGAGTTAGCACATTTTGATCGCTCAATTTCTGTCCAGATATAAGCTGCACGGGCATTGATTGACTATGGAGCGTAGTTGTGATTATCGATGCGGTTTATGCCAGCGAAACAACGTCTGTAGATATTTAACTATGCTGTAAAATTGATTGTATTTTCATTGGATACTGCATATCAAATATAAAATTATATTTCGTAACGATAGATTATCTAAAGTACTATATATTTTAAGAAAAAATGTACAGGATAATATTTTAGTCAAATTCCTTGATCTTTTTAACAAGATAGGCGTGTCTCTGAATGAGCTCTGCACGACGTCCCTCCAGGTCCACGACGTCAGACTCGCGTTTGTCAAAGTCTTCAATGAGCATCTCGGATGAGGCAAACCCGTCTTTGCTTTTCAGACGAGTAGCAAGCTGTCGCGTTGCGTCTCTTTCTTTTTTTTTCTGTGCGAGCTGGTCGCGGTTTGCAGACAGAATTTCTTCCAGCTCACGTGATTCTCGTTTAAGCATTTGGCTTTCAGCAAAAACAAAGTGTAATTTTTCTTTAATATGCGTCAGAACTTGTACTGTGTTTGTGGTCTTTTTGCGCAATTTAGAGAGCTCCTCATTTCGTTCTTCTATCTTCTCATTGAGCGTCTGATTTTCAATCTTTAGCTGCTCAAAATCAATCAAGTGAAGCCCCTCTGCAAGCTCCTCCTTTGCATGCAATAGCTGTTCGAGCTTCTTGAGATGCATGCGTAAATTTATATGTTTCAGCCGTATTTTTTCGACGTCTTGATCCTTACGAAGTTCTGCAGCTTCAAATTGAGCAATCATTCGCTTAGATATAGGCTTGCCCGTTCCCAAAGTTTCAGCATTTCTCGCTACTTCTCTCTTAAATTCCAGAAATGCGTCTTGAATCTCTGTCACCTTGGCTTCCTTTTCATCCAGTCGAGCCTGTAGTTCCAAAGCCACCTTGTCATATTGAGATCGGGCCATTGTCATTTGGACCTTGGATTCATGAACACTGCGTAGACAATCGAGATATCGCTTGGTATCTTCATTTGAGATAATTTTGTCCTCCCGTCTTCTGGCAGAATTTGAATTATCTTTCACAGCACCTGAGCCGCCAGTCGCGGGGCTGCTTTCCTGATTTTTATGTAACATAAGTGCAACACGACGCTGTAGACTATAAACATAGTAGTATCACAGTGAGTTGACTGCAACTCGAATTGCTCTGATACGATGACCCACTTGGTGTTTCTAAGCTGTAGCCTCTCACGAGCTTCTGTGGCATTTGCAATTGCCAGTCGCAATCGTTGAGCAGCATCGTCTGCAATGATTGCTGCATCATCTTCATCCTGTCGCTTAAGGCCACGGTGAGGATTGTGATGGATCATCGTCTCTACCTGCATGTTGTATTGCGACGTTTCACCAAACAACCAAAATGTGGAAATTTCGTGGCAAGAATAGGAATCAAAATTTAACTCGAGTTCTTAATTTACAAAATCAAGTGAATATCAATTTTAAAGCTGTTTTGATAGCCATGTACAGACGTCCAAAGTCACTCGTCGCCCACTGCGCTCCATTACGTGCTGTAAAGAGTCTGAAGGGAAAGTCAAATGCTAGTGCTCGCTGGGTACGTCGCCAGTGGAACGACCCTGCGGTGAAACAGGCTAAAAGAGAGGGACTACGTTCGCGTGCAGCCTTTAAATTACGCGAACTCAACGATGTAGGTGTATGATTAATAGGATAAGGTTGCTATTTATCACACTCACAATTTTATATACACGAAAGGCAGCGCTTTCAGCTACTTCGTCAAGGTAATGTGGTTATAGATTTAGGTGCCGCTCCTGGTGGTTGGACGCAAGTAGCGGTGGAGGCTACAGCACCAAAGCGATGCACGACTGATGATCCACCGCGAGTTGTGGCCGTGGACCTTAAGCGTTTTGATCCCGTAGAGGGTGCAGTCATTATTGTCGGGGATTTTCGTCAATCATCTGTGAGAAAACAGCTGACTGAGACTTTAAGAGGTCGCAAGGCCGATGTTGTGCTAAGCGACATGGCTCCATCCTTTTCGGGTACATTCCTTACAGACAGTCAACACCAGCTACGTCTTTGCCACAATGCACTTAAAATTGCTGAACTTTATCTGCGTCCTGGTGGTAATTTTGCTACCAAAGTTCTGAGATGTGACGGGTCTGAGGAGTTTCGAGCTGAATTGAAGGCAGTATTTGATGTTGTGAAGGCCATGAAGCCGCAGTCGTCACGACCAGAATCAACGGAGATGTATTTTGTAGCGAAAGGGTTCAAAGGTATAACAACTCTAGAAAACTGATAATTGTGACCTTGTTATCTTTTTACTTCTCATGTAGTTGAATTTTATAAAGGCTCGACTAAATGTACGCGGCGAACTCTTACCGCAAAAGTCAGACACACGACGAAAAGAGTGAGAGCCAACGGGAGACAATTAGTTGAGATCCTGGCCGAGTCGCAGTGCCAGCAGCGTGTCGTTGTACTGGTTAAATGCATCTTGGATGTCATCTTGCAACTGCATAGCCAGTGGTATAAGCTCCACGTTGACTTTACCACCAATTTGAGCGGAAGCCGCCACACGTGGCTGCAACACTTTGACAGCGTGAATCATTTCCTGCAATTCCGTGTCCTGGCGGACGTCGCCTGCTGCGTAGATAATTTTTTGCAACAATTGGTGCACCAATTGCTCGACCTCTTGCAAGTCTGCATCGTTCAGCGGCTCCGCATCGGCTGCATTAGCCAACGCCTCGCGCTCTTCCTCTTCCCACCGCTTGCGTGCCTCTGCATACGCTTCACGCTCACAGATGTCTTGAGTACGAAGCGTAAGGTTAAGGAACCGATCCAAGTGAATATTCAGGAGTGCATCTGGCATTTGCGTCAACACTTGTGTCATGTAGCGATTCATCTCCTTTTCACGCTTGATAATGAATTTCTCTTCTTGGTTTTTACCCATCATGGATGAAAATGGGTGGCGCTTGGGAAAACGCGGAAACCATGGCGCTCGTTTACCACGGCGACCGGAAGCTGCGGCTTTCAATTCTTGGTGAAGCGCGTTGAAGTCGTTGTAGCGACCACCTACGAGCCAAGCAGTTTTTGATTGCTCCAAAATATCACGGCCCCACGTCACACGCAGCACGTACTCCGTGTACTCATCACCCCAATTTTGATCCTGCTGTTTACGGTGGCCCAACATCGTACACGTGAGAATGCCGCCCTTGTACGGGATTGGCGGACCTGTTGGAAAGTCTTGAATCTTTTCTACCGGGTTGATCAAATTTTCATCATCAGCTGACATGACCGGACCAGCAGGAGCCTCACCACCTTCACCGAATAGGTCGCGACCAGCCTGTGCAAGCTGCTCCTGGCGCAGGGCATCACCCGCGACGGCTTCACCTTCAACTTTCGCATTGTCACCAGCAACCCAGCTCATGTCAGCATTTTGGAGCGACTCCTGTCCCACCATGGCACCGGCAACACCCATCGAACCGATGGCGCCAATCTGGCCAACCTGTCCGGCGGCAGCCTGCAAAGGCTGCACTGATCCCAGCGTAGCCGGTCCGCTACCAGCAGCTCCATGTACACCGAGCGTACCAAGAGCGGGAGCTGTTCCTAGCGTGCCAGCTAAAGCCACTTTTCTTTGGGCCTCATCATAAGCACTTAGCTTTCGCAAAGCAGCAGCCTCTGCATCATGTGCCACGGACGCATCCTGCGCGGCGGCAGCAGCATCTTGAGCAGCCATGGCAGCAGCAAGGGAAGCGGCTTGAGCACGTTCCACAGCAGCCTGGCGCTTGGCCTCCTCGCGGCCGACCGACCGACGGTAAGCATTTTGAATAGCTGTAGCAGCAGCGACACGCCGTTGCTCTAGCAGGCGTTGACGCTCACGTTCGTCTTCCTCCTCTTGAATGCGTCGTTGGCGCTCATCTTCCTCACGCTGGAGTCGCAATCGCTCCTGTTCAGCAGCAAGTCGCCGAGCCTCTTCAACAGCCAAACGGGCTTTGCGAATGTGGTGCAATCGATGCACGAAGTGACGTTGTGCTTGGATGGTATAATATGCCGTAAGCCAGCGTTTTTTGGCCGAATTCTTCTTTTCCGCTTCAATACGAGCAGCTTCCTCCAGTAGCCTCTTCCGCATTTTTTCATCCTCAACCTGCGCACGACGCTTTTCGGCCTGTTTGCGGCCAAACTTGCCGCGCACAATCGACTGGATCTTCACTGCTGCCGCATTCTGCTCGGCATTTTTGGCCCTCATACGCTCGCGAGTTTGCTGCAAGAGTTTCTTGAAGGCATTAGTAGCTAGGACACCACCAATTGCCATTTTCCAGTGCTTTCGGGCCAAAAACTTGCGGCGCATGCGGTGACGATATGCATTCCGCGATCGAATAAACTGCTTTCGGACGGCAAACATACGCATTACCGCCTGTAATTTGACAATAGCTGCCTTGCGCCTTCTCGTATCCTCCAAAAGTTTCAAGAATGCACGTTGTGCGAGCACCTTTGCTAAAGCGTAACGCCATCGACGTCGTGCCAGCCACTTTCGAAGACGGGCAACAATCCACGGCCCCATTTTCTTCATATCCACCTTTAGTAAGGCGTCAAGCAGCGCAATTTTGCCCGTTTTGAAAAAGACCTTCGTCCGTCCTAGACGATAAGCGTCTGGCTCCACCCGGAAAGACCACAGTACCGCTTCCGTAAACGTACGGTCGTTGTACGCGTTAAACATTGGTGTGACGGACGGCGGCAGCACGGGCTTGTAAATTCGGCAAATTTCGTCATAGGATACGCGCGTAGGCAGTCCAACCTTGAGCAGCTCACACGTTGCAAGCATACCCGAACAACGCAACTGGTCGACGACGTATCCGTGGTCAAAGACACCTGGTGTCATGGTCGGATTAGGCTTGATACATCGGATAAAGTTACAACGCGTCGCGTTCAGCGTGTCTGTAAGCTCTTGCATTTGATCACAGAACTTTGCCGAGACACTCTGTTTATGCTGATTCATAGTGTTAATGTCCAATTTAGACGAAAACAGTTCTTTAATGAGCGAAGACTTGCTGGAAGTTACAAAGTCCTCAAGGTCTTTGGGAATAGTATCGTTGTTTTTGTCAATAAAGTTACCGATCGTGTATGGTACGCGTGTAGCAAAGTGTTTGACGATAAACACGTATTTTTTATCTTTTTCATGAGGTGGCAAGAAGTGTGAATGATTCACGTGGGTCTTGTGCAACATGGCGTTCCACTTGTCATCAGTTGGTTTGGGCATCTTGGCTTCTTGATCCAATAATGGAAGAATACCATTAGGCTTTTGCGAGATCAAATCGATACATTCCCGATTGTCCGGCCACATAATCTTACCCACTTCAATACCTTCAGCAGCAAACAATTCCTGTTCTGCAATAAAAACTTGCTGATTAAAAGTAGCTTGCAACGCTTCATTGGCGTAGTTGATCAACAATTGCTCAAAGTCGTTTTCTTCAAATGATTCAAATCCAAAAATGTCCAACACACCAATGAATGGAAGTGAACTGTCACCGTGACCGAGTGAAGTGTTAATTTTATATAAAATCCACTTGAACAAATGATTGTATATGGACTTTGCGATGGCGTCACGGACATAACTTCCTTCTTTTGCAGTCCTTTTGATAGTAAAATTTTCCGTCCGTGTTGAAATTGCACGCGTTGAAATAACATCCAACAGATTTGAGCTGTCCACACCTAGAAGTTCAGCGCATGAGGCAACATATCGTTGCGCCTCTGGTGTCACTTCTCCCGCGTCACCCTCCGCTGTCTCACGGTCTTTAAGTCGAATGTTACCAAGATGCAACAGACCCGAAAGTACAGTCCAAACTTGTTTCTGCAAAGCAGCATCAATGTCAACAGACCCAAGAGCACTCGTCACTTCATCAAACAATAGTTCATCATCCACATTTGGATCCGACACGCATCCACTTTGATTCAAATATGCAAACTTGTCCACTAGTTCAAGTTTCAACTCTTTTGCCAGCGCTTGATTCGCTCCAGAAAGTAGGAAATAGAAAATATGAAAATTGCGTTCGCCAGGAATTTGGGCCACGACACGAAACTTTTCCAGCAAGTACGTTTCAACAAATGCACCCGTAAGCGTATTATCGCCAGGCTTGAACTGCAGCTTCATAAATTTACCGAATCGTGATGAATTGTGATTACGCAATGTCTTGGCATTACCAAACGCTTCGAGTATGGGATTTGTGTCCCAGAGTCGCTTGTCTAATTCCAGTGCAATATCTTGCTGAGCATTGTTGCCTTTACTAGATGCAAACGCCAAATGTTCACGTGATGTTAAGTATCGCAGTACAATCTTGGACGTTTCAGTCTTCCCAGCACCTGATTCCCCAGAGATGACGATTGACTGGCATTGCGCGAGGGTACGCAATGCCATTTGCTGAAATGCTACTTCTGCAATAGCGTACGGGTGTGGCGGACGGTCCCCCATTTGCGTCTTAATGTAATCCGTCACTTTGGGTTCCACTGTGCGAACGAGTGGATTAACAGCAACTAGCACATTAGCCATCAGCGTGTACGGACGCAAATTATCCATTTTTGAGCGTATGTAAAGGTTTTCCAATATTCCTGCCTCATGGATGTAGTATAGACCCGTCATGTCGTCCACAACACGCGGATTGACCTTGTAAAGGTCGCCAATGTCACGCATATCCAGCCTCTCCTGGCCATACTTGCTGTTGACAATCAGAGTCATGCCCTGCTCAGGATCGTCGGCCGGTTCATAGCGTGCGATCTCGACCACGCGCCACACACGTTCGCGATCAGGAACCCAAATGTGGGCACCAATTTCCACAGGAGTGTGCTTAAGTGCAGCCACAACTTCTAGCGTGTTACGACGTCGCGCTGAGTTCTGGGCACGCTTCTTATTCTCTAGCACAAGGCGTTGAGCAATGCTCAAATTGGCTTCGTCCACGGGTGCTGCATTGTGTCGCTGAAAGCGGTCGTATGATGGCAGCGCACCGGATGGCACCATCTCCATACGCGGTCTTCCCGACATGGATTTCAAGTGTAGATGGTCGGTACTGGCACTTGAAGAGGTCGGTTTGGTTCTGTCTTGATTCCTAATTCACACTGCGTGTATATGACAACGCAACGAACAAAGCGGAGGGAGACTTTGATTGTGGCGGACGGATGATGTGTGTGTGGTGGAATGGTATGATTGGCTGAAATCTTACAAAAAAGAGTAGATTGGTGAAAAAGATGTGCAACGACAACTTGGAGTATTTTGCTCTAACGTTCAGTTTCTTATATCTCTCGCCTTAACAAGAGTGTGCAACGTTCTGTATGTATGACGCTTAAAGGGCAGAATACAGCAAATTTGCACACAGCCGTGCTGTTAGGCCACTCAAGACACTTGCGATCGACACGCAGCAAACGTCTTGACGGAATGTCGACGTAACGATGTTATTGCATAGACTGTACGATTCGCTTATTCAACATTGGTAAGCAGCAAAAATCAAAACATTTTACGCCCTGAACGTCAGCACAATGTATTGGCATTAAAATTATTGACTTTCCGACCCATTTCCAGTCTCGCTAAAAGCAGATTTTGTAAATGTCGAATTCTATCGAGGTTTCTTTCGTCTTAGCTTTCGCCACTAGCTCTATGGACCACTTATTATTCCAAATTCTGATTTTAGGTAGGCTCTCTGTGATCTCGTCAGCAATGTCCAGCCTATTTTGGTGGCGTTTTGTCTCAATGGACGAACGAGTCATTTACGTGATAGAGATGTCTGTCGTATATACAAAAAATCGAGTAAATATGCTTGATGTTGTAGCTCATGATAATTTGAAAAACGAACTGAAGAAACTGGTAGTTTTTTTACATATTCAAAAGTGATATTAATAGAAAAATAAGAACAGCTCAATGTGGTACGAAATATACCTGTTGTATAACATTAAACCCTGATAAAATCAACAGTGCAAGGCTAGCTGCCCGTAAGTGCTACAGATCACTCCTTTACAGGGTCCAGCACCCTCACCCGTTTCAATACTAAACACGTTTGTAATGGAGTAAGAACTGTCATCTTTTGTATCGCCACCTCTCAGCGACATTTCCTAAGTTAAATTTTGTCGTTATTACGGATCCCTTGCTGCAGCGGGGCTGCTGTAGCTCGCTGTTTAAAGGAAGCTTTATAGGGTCACCGACCTTACGTACGATGCAAGACCCATATCAGTGTAGCGATCGCAATCCGCTACCTCCAAGAGTAACCAAAACCTTAACCCAAGGCAGATACACCTTCCGTTCAGAATTAAAGCTGTATTTATCTGATTTAATTGCGGCAAAGGCGCCCATATCTATATCTTTAGGATCCCTAATTAAAAAGTAAGACCTAAATAATATGCATAACTAATGACAATCCCGCCATGTAGTGGCTTCATTTCATGGTGTAGCCGCACCATTTGGTGATTACACCGTCTTGTGTACTCAACACTTTTGTACAGTCACACCATCTTGTGTGACCCACCCTTTCACATCAGGGTACGTGTAACCCCTAACACTCTATCAAAATTGTGAAAAGTTCACATTTAAGTGTCACCTCATACGAGGCTCGCGTGTCTAAGACACCTTTACGTCCAGGACCTTCTTCACTCATTCTCTGCTCAATAAGCCTTGTGTATATGACAGGAAAACTCCCAGCCTAGCTGGTTCTGAGGGCGCCCGTGGGCAAAGCCCTTCTTCGTCTTCTGCGCGCGGTGCAACTCCGGACAGTACGTCTACGGCTTCACGGGGAGCACATCCCAAGCCCTCGGCAACTGGAAGCCGCACACCGCGCCCGCCACGGGCGATGTGACGGCTAAAAGCCTCTCCGACAGAGCGCGAAAGCTCTCAACGTGAAGCAGTCGGTGCACGAAGTGCTCCAAGCTCTCGAGGTCTTCCGCACTGCGGTTTGTAACATCGACAAGATGCTCGGCGGAGTGACGATGACGACAGACTATGTCATAAAAAGCTGAAGAGCATCGCGAGTCACCGGACGGCGATCGACCAAGTCGTCATCGTCCACCCCTGACTCTTCTCGGCGAGAACGGTGGCGCCATTTTTCACGTGGAATAACTTGCAGGTCGACGTCGTCAACAGGGTCCAATTCGGTATTTTTGTGAAGTTGCGGGGATATCCAAACTCCGAGAACTCGTGGGAAGTTGAGGTGCCACTTCGGCAAGACTGCCCAGATGTGGACGCTTGTGGTAGGAGGGGTCATGACGCTCCGCGTCGTCGTACGCCTCGCGCTACTTGGTAGTACCCCAGGAAGACGAAGGGCCATGATCTGAGCTCAAGCTATGGTCCTGAGCTGCTGGGTCATAGGCTCACCCTAGTGAGGAACCACAGAACTTGCGGGAGCGTGATGGATAAATCCATACGTTGCAGAGCGACAATACGTAGGAAGTCGGCGTTGCGCCTTGAATTTGGATAACTCGAACCGAAGATGGCATTCCACACGCACGTTCACTTCCTTGTGGCTTCGTTGTAAGTCAGACAGCGAGGAAATTTTGCGGTCCCGCTGCACCCTTCGCTCAAAGAGCTCCTCATTATCTGCAGAGGTTTTACCAGAGGTGAGCACCACAGGAATCGCCCGCATTGCGGGTACAGGAGCGCTTTTTCTTCGAGTGTGAAGCCGAGTGCGATACCTACCCAATGCGATTTATTGATGTACCAAGAAGCGAGCTCGAAGAGCTTTTCGTTGGTCAAGCTCGGACCAAAGGCTCGACTACGTAGACGCCTAACGATCGAGGGTCGTCTTTCGCTTCAGTAGCGAGATCCGCCGAGCGGAAGCCGTATTCCTCACGAGGGTCAAGGATCGAACGTGGATACAAGCGCATGAAAGCCGCTCTGTGGGTGCCCCCCAACTGCTGCTCCTGTGCCTCGTCGAGGCGATTGGTAATGATACCACTACCACCGGAAGTCGAGAGGTCGGGAAACGGACACGGTGTCTGCACGGTTCGAGCAGGGCTCACGTCGCTAGTTGGCGCACCTCACCCTATTCTTCATCCCATCCTAGGAAAGGAGTACTCGATTCATAATCGACTTCCTCCAAATCCTCGACGAGAAAATCAGCACCCATAGGGTACCGATATGGAGAGGGTTTCCCCCTCTGACACGACTCACACGTGCGCACATATGTGCTCGTCCATTAGTGCAGCTTGGGTCACCAATATTGGCAACTCACAGAGCTAGACGTCTTCTCACGGCCCAGATCTGGTTGGTGTGTCGTGGGTCCATACAGGATACGGTACTTCAAATCCTCATCGTGAGGAGCCACAGTTCGTGGCATATCCGTTGAGTCGAAGCTATAATACAGCAAACCGTTTTTCAACGGTTGTCGGTGCAACCGTGCGCGCAGTCGCGACGACAACTTCATGTCAGATTTTTTTAACTCCTTGCTCCCGATAGCCTGTAGCGATGCTACACACATACTATCACCCGCGTATGCGGCGCGGATCAAATACGTCACTGACAACGTCACCATGGTGACATGAGCAAGCTGAGAATCCGGACTGCGTGACAACGCATCAGCCAGAACATTCTGCTTTCCTGGCTTATACTTTACCTCGAAGTTATGATCTGCAAAGAAGGAGAGCCATCTGACCAACTGAGCCGCACTGCGTTATGACGCATGATCTGTGTAGATCACAAACGGCTTTGAGCCGAGCAGGTGCACCCTGAATTTGACAGGTGAATATTTCATCACAAGTAAGTCTTTTTTGTGAACTAGTTAGTTCTTCGCCGCAGCTTAAGCTGGTAGATTCGAACGCGATCACCCAATCTT